AACAAAGTCGGTTATGATATTGAAGAACTATAAAACATATGCCAAGTATTATAAAACGTATGCCAATATTAAAATTGTATATTCGCATTTATTTTGTAAATTATTAATAGCAATATAAGCAAAACATAATATAGAAATCAGTCAATAAACCATCAATTTATTAGAATAAAATTCATTAATGCAATTCCAGTTACGAATATAACGAATACTACGAAATTTACGAATATTACGAAGTACGAATATAAATGTTATAGTTATACTTATACATAGCCGTTAAAAAATTACTATATTTATGAAAGATACTTTACTATACCGATCAGAATATAAATAGCAAATATGTGCATTTAATTGTTTCAACTTGCAACTTGTACCATTTACATTTAGTAAAATTGAAGACTTCTGTAACACTTTTTTATTATTTTGTCCGTCCCAGATTTTTAACTCAATTTTCATATTTTGATATGAAGAAAGAGAGATGAGTTTCTTTTTAAACTGATATCATATGATGGCGCGTGCTTATCACAGGTTTTCAAGTCGACACCAGATGCACATAAATCTATAAAATAATCTAAATATACATATTGAGGCACGCGACACGATCAGCAAATAACTTGAAGATATCGTTAACAATCTTATAATAGTGATTGCGGAATCAATATTCTTTATTATCAATAATATCCTTCTCAGCTTAATACATACTTAAACTAATGGTGCATGGCATCGTGGCTTAAGGCAAATTGCTGAAGCTTCCCGTACCAAAAGTTAAAATTAAAAAAAAAAATTAACTTTGAAAAAATTAGATTTTGAGAATATTGAATTTTTTTTTTTGGCCACCGTATCTTAGAAACGCCTGGACCTGCCATATCCAAAAATAATCGTGCTGATTAGTCTGCTTATCAATAGGAAACGAATGTTTTTTCAAACATACAAATCGGTTGAACCGTGTTCACAAAATCATCGACGAAAATTTGTACACACACACATACATCCATTTTTTCTAAGGCATGCCAAAATATTCAGAAACCTCTTAAGATATATAAAAATTTTCATTTTCGATTTTTTTGCGATTACTATAACTTACTCTACGGGATGTTAATTAGATGTAAGTGGTATTTTTCCTTGAAGGCATATTGCACTAATTTTCGATACATAGAAATAATCCACTATTAGCTATTTGGATAGAATTTTCAACTTTCCCATTACTATAATTTACCCTACGGGAAGTTAAAACACCAGATGATTTCAGTATGATGAGATTAGTTGCGTAGAAGTTAAATGACTGCTATCGCAGTAGTCTATTAACTTTGAAATGGTTATGTAAAGTAACGAAATTTCTGTATTGATTTAGGCTACGTATAATGTTTAGTTTTAAATTTTCCTCTTATAAATTTGTCTGATTAGTTAATCGAACACAGTTATTACCACGTCATAATGATATGACAACATACCGTCGACGATGGCAGATAAATAAATGTGGTCACGCACGATCTCGACTCTATATGGTCACGCTCCGAGGAGGTCTGTTCTAATTGTGCAGAGATTCGAGATAATAGATGGACGATGCTGATAGAGCACATTAGACAAATTTAATCAAATTCCTGGCATAGATATCATCAAATTATAAGTATGTTGGTACCATACTTCAAGACCAGTCAGATCCATTGCCTAGTTTCGAGATTCATTAATATGATTTATCGATGTAGATTGGCACCGTTTTCGTATTGGAGATAGCATGGTTTATGCAATTTGTTAACTTTACGAAGGAGAAATTTTTGTTGCCGCCAGAAATACCGATTTGCTAATTTTATGTTTTCTTGTTGTTTCAAATCATTATGCATCCTTTGACACCAAAACTTTGATTTGTCGATATAGATTGGCACAGTTTTCATATTGGAGATAGCATGGTTTATGCAATTTGTTAACATACCGAACGAGAAGTTTTTGTTTTCGCCGTTCTGGAGATACGAAGCTAAAGTGCAGAAAATAGAAATCGAGTTTTTGAGAGAACTGAGTATCGAATTTTAATTATCCAAAAAGCATTCAATTTGTAATGATTAGAAGAATTTATAATAATCTATTTGAAAACATTTAATATTCCTCGGACGTTTCGTTATGATACGGGTTGTTCCAGCAATTTGCCTTAAGCTACGATGCCATATACCACTAGTGATAGTAGTTATTATAAATATAGAAAATTTGCTTTAGATTTGTAAAATCAGTCCTATCAAGAGAACTTACTCCCTCGCCTAACAAACAATATAAACGAGAAAATTATGCTGGTATCATGAATTAATAATAATAATAATATTCAAAATAACTAATTTAATTTTTTACGACAATTTTTTTTATTGTGAAATGATATTTGCATAATGCAGGCTTTTCCGTGGCTCTTTGATAAAATTCAAACAAATTTAAAAACATCAAGGTTTCAGGTTAAATACACATCCCTGACAGTCTGATTTCAATCAGTAATTTGAGAATTTTGTTCTAAAAGCTAGAAGTGAAACTGGAATTAAATCAAGTCTTTATATGACTTCGGTGCACGATCTTTATTTTTATAATCAAATCTTTGATTTTTAGATTATAAATCTTTATTGTCTTTAAAATTAATTACTTGAATTTTAAATAATCATACTACATACTACTATGGATATTATATTCAGATTAATAAATATGTATAGCAAGAAAGAAGTAATTAAGTATAGCTTTCCTTTAAAGCTTTTAAAATTTATTTCTAATCCTTTAGTTGATTTAAGCTTTAAACCAAAGGTTCATATAAAAACATCTAAGTTTTAGAATGTGATGTGCTGTCAAAATACTCACGAGTATTTTATGAAACATCACTCCATTCGTCAGAAATTCTTTTACCAAGTGCATTACGAAGCAAAAAATTCTTTCTGATTATGAAGCCAAACTTAGCATTAAGTAGTAGAAACATGTTGTTACAAGATACAACGATATTTAACCACTGTTGCCATGGAAGATATTATTTGAGAAAAAGAAAAGTTCATATTGTTGCAAAAAAATCCAATTTATTAAATATATGTCTTCATTTTGAATCCTATGGGGAAAAATCGGATAAATTATATATATAAGAATGTGAACACTTTTAGCTTCATTTTTTTTAAATCATTCGATATAACTTAATGAATCACGTTTAGTTTCGCATAATGATTAGCGTTTGTAATGAACAGGAAAATGTGAAATTTTTGGCCAACGTTTTATCAAAAATTCCTGAACCGATTTTGAAATTTCAAAAACTGGTCGAGAGACAGGAGCTGGGAAATGCTGTGATAATAGTGATTGGTGAAAAACTACCTTCTTTATTTTATATTTATATGCTCTTACTTATTGTTCAACAATTAGCTCTTGACCGGTCATGTTCCAAAAACTAAACTAACACTATAACATCGAAGAATGAATTATTTTCCACGATCAAAGTGAAACACTTCACAAAGATGATTATTGCTAATAAAATTTATAATGGTTAGTTTAAAATTGAATTCTTACCTCCAAAGTTTTCCTAATGTTTTGCTAAGTTCTGCATTGTGTAGCTGCGGATACTGATCAGCCAGTCGTCGCCTGGCTGCTTGCGCCCAAACCATGAAGGCGTTCATTGGTCTTTTCACATGCAATTTTCGTTTATCTGATGTTCCTCTGAAAAAAAAAATATTGGAAATTAATTATGCTTGAAACAAGCATCTTGTAATCATTGAGAAATGTTCTGATTGTGTATTATATTTTGTAATATATTTGATTGTGTGTTATTATTATAATATATTTTTTAATCCAATAGGCAGTTTTATTATAATTTTATGGGATTATATATGTGTTGCTTTTTTTATTATATTTTATGTTGGTCCCATTTAAATCGTACTATAACAAATCGTTGGTGACAAATCTGCTAACAATTGATTTTAATATTTTAGGGCACCTCTTTTGTATTTTATGATGACATTTTTTTTATTTGAATTTATTTTGTATTAACTAAATAGGTACATTAAATACAATTATTCAGGTATATCGATCTGAATTTTAGTGTTTACAGTCAGAAAATAAATCATCTACAATTTTTATTGGTGATTTTTTTCATTATATTGTGATGCGTTAATGATATTTTATATTGACAAATAATTTTTTTTATATAATAACTGTATAATGAGCGCTATCCAAATATATAATTTAACATAAACATTTAAAATTTAAGCTAAAATATTTCAGTAAGAGTAAAGCAATCATTACCATTTTGTATTATAAAATAATGAAAAATATGTTAATTTATGGTCACTATTTTCTTGATAAAAATTCTAATAATATCATTCATAAATTGGAAGCTAGATGAATTTGATTTAATTTTCTTCCAAATTTCAATTTTAATTTGTAACCCAATATTTTTCACTTTGAAGCCAAGAATAACTAATACACATACGATTGGGGCTTAAAGAACGGCTGATAAAAAGGCCCACCATCGATATCTCAAAAACTAATGATGTAAGGAATTTCTCAATAACAATATTTGAAAGTTGAGAGCAAAATTTGTGTAACCAGCAATCATCTCGATTCTTACGACGTCGCTATCAGGAGATAAAGAGCAATGTTTGAAAATTCATAATGTCGTAAAGTATTTTCTTTCGTTGTTAGTTTTTTTTTTTGTGAGTACTATTATTTAGTTTACGAACTGACCTTAATATAATTTTTAAGTCAATATACATTATTCAATTGTTTTATACAATTTAAGTACTATGCATTATTCATTGTTATTTTTAAGTTAAACTCAACAGTTTTCTTTAATAGAACCTCTATGAAAGTTTACATATAGGTGGGGTAAAAAAAAACAACTGATTTTTTACTCTGATAAAAGTGTAAACAATATAACAATAGTAAATAAAAAGTAAATTAAGTTGAAAATTTTTTTTTACAAGAAATAAGTTATGTAAGTAAATATTTATTCCAACTCTGCTGATGAATGTTTCTGATAAAATACCAGATCCAGGTTATATACACTTTGTAAACAGTGTACCAATGGAATTTATAATTTGCATTACTTGAATATTGTAGTTATTATTCTATAAAATTCCTTTGAAATTTAAAATAATTTGACAAATTAAAAAAAATGGCGAAAGAAACCTTTTAACTATTAGGAAATAAGTGGGAGTTTTACTGAACATACTTTGATAGTTGTTTGTTTGATGCTAACCTATATATGATGTTTTACCAAATGTTTTACTTTTTTATTTTATACTTATTTATCTATTATTTATAAAAAAGAGTTTATGTAGAAAAGTAACAAAATAATCCTGTTTTATATTTATTTATCTAGTATAATTATACCTGGTAAATTTAAAAACATAGAAAATTTTAAAAACGATATTAGGCAACTGACTTACATTTTATAAAGAAAATTTTACAAAAAATGACAAATTAGAAAAATATAAAACAGGATTATTTTGTTACTTTTCTACATAAACTCTTTTTTACCGAACCTTACATTAACGATAGGTTAATCAATATATGATTAATGAAGTTCTCTGTATATTTATATTATAATTAAATACAGAAAAAGTTATCTCTAAAAATCAGGATCAAGTTTCTTCTTTTTCCATATCATCCTTTTCGATAAACTAACCTCTAGTTCGACGATAAGAACAGATTAAAAATAAGTTTCATCATAGTGTTTACGTCTCCACTAGGTATATCATCCTTCTGGTATCAAGTTTCCTACCTTATGTTTACAGAATGATCTGCTAATCGCTGAGAATATTGTTTACGGTTTGTTTATTACTCTTTTCGGCTACTATTAAAAGCTGTAGCATATAAATATCAAATGTACCGAGTCCTTCTTGTATTTCTACAAACGTATGCAAACAAAATTAAAATCTTCTGGTTTATCGCGAGCATCACATATCACAAAGAAGACCGAGATTAAAAATTAATTATACCTTACACGTTTTAATCACTTCTTGAAATAATAGCATACTTGACTATTAAAAATTTGAAATTTATTAAACAAATATTTATATACATCTGAAAAATTATTGTTGTTCAATATTTATATTTTATTTAGATGGACTTTACCAAGTGTAAAGCTGAGAAAAATAGTATGGAGATTTGGATATTGTTGTTTAGTTTACGACTATCTAGTATAATTTGCTCTTATTAATATCCACTCTACTCTATTATTTATGAGATAAGACTTATGAAAGTGTTTATAGAGTAAAGCAATTTTCAAAGTTTTATTTAATTTTAGAATTTTCGGTCAAATTTTTGTAACACAATGTCACTTTATTAAACCAAATTGCAGTAAAGAGAATATTCAAAAAAAATTTCTTTATCTTATAGTTTTGTTTATCATAATTATATACGAGTAATAATAAACAATGTTGATAGCGGAAAGCACAACAAATAAATGTTATTCCTTACAAGAAGTGAACATTAAATGCACTTAATAAAACCGTAAGAAGTACGCACTATGTTTGGCGCCTGTTTTGCGAATTATGATGTCTTATAGTATTCAAAATCCGAATGACCTGTTGTTGTCTTATGACATTAAATGTTTACTTAGCATACACTAGGAACATAATATTAATTTTATTCTAAAATTCACAAAAGCGCACGCTTCCATCTAGTATTAAAAATTTTCTAACATCTGTAAAGTGCTTCTGAATGTAATGCAAAAATGTATGACGTAAATTCAAATCGTTACTTTTAAGAGATATGTTTGGTCAAATATTATAATTTGTTGTTTATAATGATTGATAATGAAAATTTGCATATCAAAATATGCTTCAAATTTTTGATATATTTAACATTTTCGTAAATACTTCGTGATATAATTATATTAATAAATAATGATTAATAAAATGTAAGGAAAACTCTGGTAAAAAAATAAGAGACAAAAGTCATTATATAAAAGAAATATAATTCTTTTCAAATAACATAAAAAATGTTATTCTTAAAATATTGAAGTGATATAGTTTTTTTAATATGAAGCAAAATTAGTTCAATACCATACTTAATTTTTTTCTTCTTGATTAACATATTTATTGTACTCATAAAAAACAATAACGAAATGTAAAATTCTTATAGAAATATGAACGGATGTATATAATATCAGAAATGAGCTTTTGTAAATATAATGAAATATATAAAAGATAATAAATCTTTTTTTTTTATTTTATTTTATTTTATTAATGGCATTTGACCGTGTAGTCATTTAGCCTCTTATTACAAAATAATATTTTACAAATTTATAACTTTCAGAGAAATATACATATTTTACAAATTGTTTACAACATAAGATGTTGACTTAATTCAAAAAACCTTAATAACTAATACTTAATAACTATAATTTAATGTTACATTTTTGTAAAAAATAAACAAAAATTTTATATATATTTTCATCATTAGTGGAAAAGGCTATTGTGGTGTTAATAGGAAAAATGAAATTATATTTATACAGTTCTTGTAGTAGGGATGTTCTTTGACTAGCATAGAGTTTGCACTTCCAGAAGATGTGGTCAAGATTGTGTATTTCCAAGCCGCACGAACAGAAGGGATCTTCTGCCATACCTATTCTAAAAAGATGTGATTTGCAAAATGTGTGTGCAGATCTAATACGATTGATAATGGTAATTTCGTTTCTGTTAAATCTGAATTTGGCAAACCATGTACTGAAAGACACTTTTGGTTTGCAAAATTTAAATAAGGTTCCTTTTCTGTCTTCCATATCATATTCATTTTGCCATAACCTTAATCCTTGTTTCCTTACCCAGCTTTTAAGATCAGTCACAGGAGCCTTTCTTGAAGGAAAAACTGATAAACAGGCTTCTTTTGCAAGTACATCCACATATTCGTTTCCACGAATGTTGGAATGCCCTTTTATCCATACTAATTTGAACTCAAATTTATTTGCTAAGATGCTTTCTATTTTGTGGATAGTGTCAAATATTAAAAAATTACAATTTTGTTTAGGATGGTTTAGAGCCAGAAGTGCAGATTTACTGTCAGTTAGGATTATGATAATAAATCTTCTTGTCTTGTTTATTGAAATGCCAAGACAATTCTGACCATGAGCATTTTTTTGCATTTTTATCCTGGCGAACCCCTAGACATCATATAATATGAAAAGATTTTGCCCATATACAATATTTTTATTTGATATCCTATTCAATTGAATATTCCACATCACATTGGTTTTTCAGTACTTGCACACTTAATGTTTGGGCATTAGTGCTTAAGAGCTATATTTTTTTAACTGATATCACTACTACTTGATATTAGGGTATACTTAGCGCTGGTTTTAAACAAACATTTTATGCTTCTTTTTAACTATTGGCGTTTAGAGTTTATGATATGCATCTCTAGAAAAATAAACTAATTCTACTCTAATTCTTAAAGGTATTTGTGGGCTTTGGTATATAAATCATGTACTCGAAAAAAAACTCTAGAAATTACCCTAACTGTAAAAGTGTCACATGATTAAAATATTCAAACTAATATATTATAATATATATATATATATAATTATAAATACCAAAACAGACCGCGGTATTTCCAAAAATATAAGGTCTGGTAATATGTAATATAACGGTGTTTTCTATTAGCACATTTGAAATAATCCGGTTTCATTTCTGTTAGACATTTTCATCTTAAACGTT